CCCCCCTCCCCTTGATGTGCAAAGGTTGAGGAAAAAAAACCTAAAATAACAGGAAACAGCACCTATGGAAGCGGTTTCCGCTGCGCTTCAACGCAAGCAGGCGATTCAGGGCAGCGGCAGAAGAGGTTCGTCAACCAACGCTACGTTTTTCTGACGTGTTGTTGTCGCGACTAATCGCTCAGTCTGTAACAAACGGGGATAACGCATCGCGCAGAAAACGTCCCGAAAGCGGCAGCCACTAGAAAAAAAAAAACAACACCAAAACCACAACCCACCCTTAAAACTCCGGCGCGTGAATTCAGCAGCGCCTGGTGGAATGAGGCAGAACCGAAGAGAAATCTCAAAACGCGTTATAAAGAAGAAGAAGAAAAAAAAAGGCAAAGTTTTGCCTGTTCACCCACCGGTTTTCGGACATTTCTGGGCAAACCCCTCGCTCGGGTTTTTTGTTGCAGCTATTCCACCTCCGTCTGAGCGATCCCGCAGGGGCGGATCCCGCGGGTTCAAGGCAGGCGGGAAGACCCCAAAAAAGCAGGTTTTGGGGTTTTTTTTCTTTTTTTTTCCCTTTGCTCTTTTCCTCAGAGAGGCCAATAAACGCTCAGTATTTCCTCATTAACAGCTGAGATTTAATTCTAGGTCTTTTCCTATTATGAGGATGCATATCTCTATATACTAGATATAATTCTAAGCCTTTTCCTTTCTTATTTTTTAGTGTTTCACCTTAACTAAAGAAAGGGTGGGACAGTGCACGTGCAGCTCCACGGAAATGCAAGCAAGCGAGGTCACCTACGCTAAAAGCACGATATACTAAATTAACGTCCCATTTTGCAACGCTTTTGCAGGCAGAACGGGTCTGAAAAAAGCACCAAAAAAAAAAAAAAGCGCCTGAGTTTAAGCACGCGCGCGCGCGCGCTCGTCTAAACCCGGCGGGGTGAGGTCCCTTGCTGCAATTCTCCTCGTTGCGACTACAAGAACCTGTCGGGACCGAGGGAAAGCGGATTTTTGAGCTGCAGTATTTGAAGCGTGGATTTACTGGGGGAGGAAGATGAGCCGTAACTCTCAGCATTGCTGTTTGACCCACACATACAAAAATAATAATAATAATAATAATAATA